ATAATAAAATAAATTTACAATAAAAATAGAAAATACAAATGAAAACCAAACAAAATGAAAATAAAAATAAGGCAAATGCAAATTTAAGAAATAAATAAAATAAAAATGAAAACAAAACCAAAAATTAAATAACGTAAAATGAAAATTAAATAAAATAGAAGTGAAAACTAAACAAAATGAAAAATGAAAAATAATATGAAAATGAAAATAAAACTAAGGCAAATGCAAATTTAAGAAAAAATAAAGTAAAAATGAAAACAAAAACATGAAATAAAAATAAATGAAAATGAAATAAAAACTAAATGAAAATGAAAATAAAATTAAAATAAAAAATTTAAATTAAAATGAAATATAAAGTAAAAATGACAATAAAAATACATAAAATGAAAACACAACCAACCTGAAAATAAAATGAAACATGAAAACCAAGAACAAAACCCAACGGGATGTGTGCTGGGACCGGTGGCAGAGCACGGCTGGAGCGGAGCTGAGCGCAGGCTGATGGAGGGCTTGTGGGGAGCCTCTCCCCAGTGTTCGCTGCCAGTGTGCCGAATCTGGCATGAGCGTGGTGACGGCGATGAAATGAGCTTGACACCTCTGCTGTGGGTGGGCCAGGACAGGGGGGCACGGCCACCCCGAGCCCTGGTTGTGTGCTGGGACCGGTGGCAGAGCACGGCTGGAGCGGAGCTGAGCGCAGGCTGATGGAGGGCTTGTGGGGAGCCTCTCCCCAGTGTTCGCTGCCAGTGTGCCGAATCTGGCATGAGCGTGGTGACGGCGATGAAATGAGCTTGACACCTCTGCTGTGGGTGGGCCAGGACAGGGGGGCACGGCCACCCCGAGCCCTGGTTGTGCCGTGATGGGTGGTGTCCCCCACCCAGTGGCACCCACCCGTGTGCCAGCCCCGACCTTGGCACCGGAGCTGGTTTGGGGACACTCCTGCACATGGGTCTTTCTTGACCATCTTTCCCCATATACACCTGGGTTGGGTCCATTTCCTCTTGTCCCCAGCCTAGGGTAGATCCACCACAGCTCTACGTTGATGCCAGTGTCCTCCAGATGGCCCTGCTTGGTCCCCAGGGAGCCAAAGGGCACCCGAAAATAAACGGAACTATTCGAGCTCCATCTCCCAAGGTTTCCTGGCCAACTGCCAAAACCTGGGACCCCCTCGGGACCCCCATCTCTGCCTCATCCACGACCCACTGCGAGATGGCACCAACCAATGGGATGTGGGGATGCCCAATCCTCCGGCCATGCCGGGAAAGCACCAACGATCCCTGCGTTCCTGCCAGATTGGATCCCACCACCAGCAAGATGGCACCAGTGGTGAAGGAACAGGGATGGCCAAGCCCAGGACTGGAGGGGGGCTCCAACAATTCCCACCCACTTGGGGTCAAACAGCCCAAATTTATGTTTCTTCTATCTACCATGACCAAAAACTACCTTGGGAGCTGGGGATCAAGCTGGCTCCCTCTTCCAACATGGGTTTTATTTGGATCCAAATCTACTTGAGAAGCCAGAAGAGCCAGAAGAGTTTCTAGTGGAAGGTGTCCCTGCCCATAGCAGGGGGGTTGGAACTCCATGATCTTTAAGGTCCTTTCCAACCCAAACCATTCTATGATTCTATGAAGAATCATCTGGAGACGGACATGGTGATGGTGAAATCACAAAATCATAGAGTGATTTGGGTTGGAAGGGACCTCTAAAGATGTTCTTGGAGGCCAGGAGAAGTCCTGGGACCTCTCGCTGATGGCCACCCCCAGTGGAGGTGACGCTGAACCTGCAGCAAAGGTGTCAGAGCTCATTTCGTGGTGGGTCTCATGCTGGATTTCCATGTGCCAGGGAGGAAAGGATGGCGGTAAAGGCACCATCGTGCTTGCTGCACCTTCAGGAGGGCTGTTGGGTGAGTTCCTCACCCACGTTTCAACAAGTAGACTCATGAATGAGAAGGGGAAAGGAACCCAAGAATAATTAAATAAATGAGTTGCAACATTATCAGGGGCAAAAGCCACCAGGCAGCGGTTTCTCTCTTACCTTTAGTGTCATTCACTGGATCCATGTGCCTGTAAATATATCCTTCTAGGTAGGAATGAAATTTGGGAGTTGGTGGGAAAAAGGCCAAACAAATGGCCATGAGCTCCCAGCCCCGGGCCAGGCTCTCATAACGGAAGTTCTCAGTGGTCTGCCGGCACAGCTGGATGTAGAGCTCATCTCTGAGACCCTGCATGCTCCAGCCTTTGGTGGCGATCTCCAAAGCCACGTTGAGCTGGTCCGTCTTGGCCCGCCGGTCCCCCATGTACATCTGAATCAGTTTAAATATCTCGCACGCTTCCTTCTTGACGTTGCGGTCGTTGGTCATGATCATGGGTTTCTTGATGGACTCGCTGCTCCAGGCTAGCATGTTGGCAATGGACACCTTCCTGCGGAAGAGCCCTTGGGTGTGCTTGTTGAAGTGTTTGGAGGCCCAATTCTCAATGTCCGTCTCCGAGGAGGGCTTCCGGAGGTTGAAGGTTGGGAAGACACAGCTGGCGCTGGGCATCATGTTCCTGGTCTGTCTGCTGTTCTCGAACTGGGCACAGGCACCGAGATCCTCCGACTAGGAAACAACAGCCAGACAGGTCAATGTTACCAACAGCGTGGCTGCACTGCCAAACCAACCAACCAACAAACCAACCAACCGATCAACCAACCAACCGATTGACCAACCAACCAACCAAGCGATCAATCAACCAACTGACCAATCAAATGAACAAACTAACTAACAACTAACCAACTGATCAATCAACGAACCAATCAACCAACCAACAAAACAGACAATCAACTGAACAAATAACGAACCACCAAACCAACCACATAACCAACCACATAACCAACCAACTACATAACCAACCAACCAACCAACAAACCAGACAATCAACTGAACAAATAATCAACAAACCAACAAAGCAACCAACGAACCCATCAACCAACCAACAAACCAACCAATTGACCGACTGACTGACCAAGAGACAAACCAACCAACCAAGAGACAAGGCAACCAATCAACCAAATACCAAACCAACCAACCACCAAATCAATCAACCAAACAATAAACCAACCACCAAACCAACCAACTACCAACCAACCCCCAACCAACCACCAACCAACCAAATAAGCAATAAAACAACCAACCAACCAATCAGTAAACCAACAAAACAACCAACAACCAACCAACTGATCAATCAATCGATCAACCAACAAACCAACCAACCACCCAACCATTGCAGCATTAAGAAGTCACCCCACACACACACCAAAAGCTGTGTCATCTCCAAGGAGCTCCTCCTCAATCCCATCATGGGCAAGTGGAGCCAGACTGGTGCCAGTGGCCAAGGCGGGATGTCGCACCGATTGCCATCAGGAGGGAGGGGACCAGTGGGGATAAGCGAAGCCACCCAAAAGCTGATGTGCCGGACTCCCTTTGTGCCTGGCACTCTGGTTGCTCAGGCTTTGTGGTCATGGACAGAAGAAGCTGGTGGCTACCAAAAATGTGGGGGAAGCAAAGGGCAGGTGGCTTCAGGCTCCACCAGTCCTTAGGCCACACCGGGGAGGGGACACACTCATCTGTAACCAGCCCCCCACGTGACCCCCTCTCCCCAAAGTCACGTTCAAGCAAAGGACCATGTTCTCCAGTGGCCACACACCCAGGAGGAGACTGGTGGCTCCTCCAAACCCTGATCCAAATGGATGTTGGTTCTTCATGTCCCACGTGCAGAGGGACAGAAGCTGCCCAGGATCTAACCTCACCTGCAGAGCACCCAGCCAGGTAGGACCCCTGCAGAGCAAAGGGTAGAGAAGGACATGCCACATGGTCCAGAGGTGACATTGTTGTCCCCACCATGTGCAGGGGAAGTGGGTTGGTGGCCTCAAGTCAGGATTGTGCATGAGGCTACGCTTTAGATGAGGAGCAGAAGAAGAAAAGCAGAAGAAAAGTCCAAAGTGGAAAGAGCCAGGGCCAGGCTGAGGTGGCAAGTCCAGGAGCGGACAAGGAAGCCACACAAAGAGCCACCAGAGATTCTGGTGTGTGACTGAGCCTCTGCTTCTTCAAACAAGTCAAGTTTCTTGTCTTCTCACTCAACACTCATCCCTTCCTAGCGTTGAGCTCATCTCCTTCCATTGACGTTGCTCAGTGCCCATCTTGCACCACAGTGACGATGGCAGAGACCTGGCCATGGGGACACGGGAGCTTCACCCTTCGAGGGACCCAGCCCTGCCATTCCTATGGAGGCCACATCACCCAAAAGGTCCTTCTGTGTCCTCCAACCTGCTGGTCAGCTGAAGGCACATGGGGCTTTCTAGGTGGAAGGAGATGCAGAATTTGCTCTAAGACTTCTTGCTCAGCAGCCATCACTGTGGTTGCTCTTCCAAAAAACTGGTCCATGAGCTGGGCCACCACCAAGGTGTCCATCCAGGGCACCCAGGGAGAAGAAGGACCATGTTGGCATCAAAGCATCGAAACGTGATGGGTCCTCTGCTGCTACTGCCAATATAAAACTAGCTTCAGTCCTAATTATAGAATCACAGAATCACGTTTTCTTCTCCGTTTCTGACACATCTTGCTGTCATGGACAGCATGATGACCCTCTACACAAAGCTCCTTGCCAGGGCTGGCCGCAGCTCAGGGAGAGGCAAGGGGCTTCCACTTCAACCAAGGCTGAAGGTTCCCCAGTTGATGAGGGTGTAAGAAACGGAATTAAAACCATGTGACAATCTTAGATGTGATGGTTTGGGTTGGAAGGGACCTTAAAGATCATCTGGTTCCAACCCCCTGCCATGGGCAGGGACACCTCCCACTAGACCAGGTTGCTCAAAGCCTCATCCAGCCTGGCCGTGAACCCCTCCAGGGATGGGGCATCCACAGCTGCTGTGGGCAACCTGGGCCAGGGTCTCACTTCTTCATCATAAATAAGTTCTTCAGGAGGAGAGTCCCACCATGCCCCAAGCTCCATGCAGAAGGTGCAGGATCACTAATGGTGGCAGCTATTCCTCCTGGCCAACGTGAGCATCCAAAGCAGGTTTGGAGCTCGCCTGGTTTTGGGTTTGAACCACCTTGTGCAGCACCAAGTGCTTGGGGATGCTGGCATGCCGGCAAGTTTCTTCTGCTGCCTTTGGATGTGACACCCCACCGGTTTCCATACATGTCCCCAAATAAGCATTTTTTCAGACCATTTGCTGTTTCCTAGGTCCATGGCCAACGTCTCTTCCCTTCTTGATGTTACCGATCTCCATCTTCCCGGCAGTTTTCCAGGTCGGATTGCTCTCACCAGGGTCACCATCCCCACACGTAGTGTCACCATCAAGTTTTGAAAAGCCATCTGAGCTTTTCCTAGCATCCTTACGTCAACGCTTGATGCAGCCAAAAGCAAATCAAGTGGTTCTCATCTGGCAACCCTTGTCCTCACCTCCCCACCTCCACAGCCCATCTCTGGGCTTCTCTGGCCATGGGGACACAAGCAGTGTCACTGTCCTTGCCCTGAGCAGGACAGTAAAGGTCAGAGGGACAGATTTTTGGGTGTTGGATGCTGGAGAGGAAAGGACACGAGACCTGAAAGCCAGTAGCCAGGAGCTGCTGGTGGGAAATGTCTGATGGGCTGAGAGATGGACATGCAATGAGCTAGCTCCAGCAGGTCCAAGTCAAAACCCATGGTGGGCTATCAGCAACAGGAGGGCTACACCATCACAGGAATGGTCTATGGCAGCTCCAGGAGCATGTCTGGGATGGGAGCATGGGACAGGAAAGGTCTCCAGGATGGGGACAGCTCAGTCCCAGAGGGGGGACAGGCAGCTCAGAGCCCTGGGAAGCAGATCCTGGAAAGTTGGTGTGCTTGTGGCTGTTTCATCCCAAGGTTTTGAGGGACAACTTGCTAAGGAGCAACTTCTTTGAGGGACCAGCTTGCTAAGGACCAACTTAGAGGGGCCAGCTTTCTAAGAACCAACTTGGAGGGACAAGATTGCTAAGGACAAACTTTGAGGGACCAGCTTGCCAAGGAGCAACTTCTTTGGGGGACCAGCTTGCTAAGGACCCATTTTGAGGGACCAGCTTGCTATGAAGCAAAACCTTTGAGGGATCAGATTTCTAAGGACCAACTTTGAGGAAGCACCTTGCTAAGGACCAAATCTGAGGGACCAGCTTGCTTAGGATCAATTTCTTTGAGGGATCACCTTGCTAAGGACCAGCTTGGAGGACTAACTTGCTACAGAGCAAATTCTTTGAGGGACTAGCTCCTTTGGTCCTTTGAGGGACCAAACTCCTGCTGTAACTGGAAATTGCCTCGGAGTTACTGGTGGGTCTGGTGATGGGTCAAGACCCCAACTCAGACATGGCGTTGCCTGTTCTTGGTCACCACGAAAGCCCAAGCCCAAGGATGGGAGCTTGGGGCTCTCCTGGGAGCTGGGTGGGTGCT